ATAGGCAGTCTACAATAATATAGGCAACCAAAAATAATTTAGACACATAACATTTTGAAACGCTGTGGCTAAAATAGCAAAAAAATTTCGACATTACGTCTGCCGTAAATCATCCATAATTTAGGCACCCATGTATACCTAACCCTATCTACAAAGCGGATTTCACTATTTCACAACTCAGGTTTCACCCAGTTCTAAAATACTTATTATATAAAAAAGCTTTAATTATCATTAATTACCTTTTTATTCTTGCTTTTTTTTTATTGATTTTACTATCTTTCACTAGTTTTGCTACCTTTTTCTAGTTTCGCCACCTTTTAGCAGTTTCGCTAGTTTCACTAGTTTCGCCAATTTCGCCACCTTTCGCCATTTCGTCATTTTAATTTTTTTTGGCGAAAGTCGAAACTAGGTTTCACCATTCGTCAGTAGCGAAACCTTTAAGTTTCGCCTGCCAACACTAGTTGTGAATCCGATATCGCATGATTAACAAAAATTTTTGTACGCACTATTACGTGATACAATTCACTATCATCAATTCTAAAAGGTTTATTAAATGTTATCGAAAATTTTTGCAAATACAAAAAATAATAAAGAATATTAGCTCGGTATACCTTCAAAATGTTCTCCATTCTCATCATGTTATTTATACATTGTTTTACTCTCTTATAAAAGCTGCTCAAATATTGATTGAATTAATGAAGTATGTAAATTTACAGATTCCAATTTGTATTTATGAAATTACATAACTCCCATACATACCCGTATTCCTCCAACATGTGTACCCGGGGTATTCCCCTAGCTCATTTTATACACATGTAGGGGTATATTTTACGAATACTTCTATGTTTTTGACATTTTTTGCTATTATATGCCCGGGTACATTGGTATGATATCCCATACTTATATACCGGGTATAAATCAAAATTTTGCCTTTAAAACCATTGCATGGTACAGCTCACGGGGGTTATACATGTCGGAGAAATACGGTAACTTCCATAGCGGAGTCACAGGTTAGGTGCCAGAATTCTTAAGCATAAAGCATAGGAAGTTCATTGCCACAAATATTTGCAAACGGATTATGGCTTAGTTTGAATCTTCAGAAATTTAGAAGCGATCAAAAGTTTTGCCTAAATTTTTTATAACAATTTATCTATTTATAATTATAAAAATATATTATAAAAAAATTGTTTGAAAACTCCTTTCTTCCTATCAAAAGCAATTATAAATAATGTCTATTTCGGATAATTCTCAAGTGATAATTCCAATTGAGGAAGTTCAGGAAAATTCATATGAAAATAAGCAATTTTCGAAAATTGTCTGCTCACCTCACTTGAAATATGTTGCTGCATTATATAAAGATAACTATATTAGTATCTGGTCTGTTGTTGGTCAAGAGAAATATTTAAAACATGAAAAGACGCTTCGAATCGACAACATCTGCACAAAAGGGGAAGATGAAAGAATTTTTGCAATTTCAGATGACAAATATGTTTCAATTGGCCTTAATAAGGTCGATCCTAAAGTTAATAAAGTCGATCCCAATGATCCTTATAATTTCAGTAAGTTATGCATAAATTTATATTAAACTTATTGTAATTTCAATAAATTCAATTGCACCTATCATATTTTATACGCTTTTTTCAAGAAATTTTCGATTTTGAAACTAAAAAGAAGTTATCATTAACTTTTCCAGATTGGCAAAAGGAAATTGACTTCTTATCTTTTATTGATAACGGAGATATTATAATGGTCAATACTAAACATTACAGAGCATATGTTTTTTCAAATAAAGATGATATTGCCTGGGTTTGTAAATCAATGATTGAACTGAAATATTTTAACAAACTTTATATTACTCCCAAAGGCAAATTGATCTTATTCAATGATCCGATTTATGAAATCACCATGTGGAATATTGAAAAATTGTCGATTGAAACTTGTGTTTTAATAGATTGGGATTGTACACTTAAATCTATTGAAATTAGTGAAGAAGAAGAATTATTATTAGTATGTGCAAAAAATGAGGAAAATGAGGAAACGCGTTTATACGTTTTTGACATCGTAAGCGGGAGAAATATATCATCCTGTAAGTCTTCGTAATAAATCATACAAATGTTTTTTATATTAATAAAATTTTGATTTTATTTTAGTCATTACAAAATCGGAGATAAATAAATTTCACTTGATCGCTTCTAAAAAAGGAGAAAGATTATTGTATATTTCGGGCAATCAATACTTTTTAATGGATCCTTATTACCTCGATCAATACATCGATCCATACCTTTATTACTTCGATCAATACACCGATCCATACCTTTTAATGCAAAATTTGATAGATACGACCGACGACTCATATCTTTTAATGCTCAAAAACAATAATCCAATAGATGAGAGTGATTATTATAATCTCCAAAGCAAAAAAAGCAAAAATCCAATAGATGCAAGCAAGCTTTTTAAAAGGATTCAAATTCAAAATCAAGAGCCATACATAATTCGATCGGATAAAATAATTTATACGATCGATGGAAGGGTGTTAATTGAAGAATTAGTGCCTAATAATTGGGTCAAATACTTACGAAAAGATCTGAAGGACACAAATAGCATTACAACTACGTATACAATTGATATTATAACTGAAATGATAAATAAAATATTAAATAATAACATATTAAACGGTGATTACAATGCTGACAAAAAAGAATTTACAGGTGAATTTTTAAAATGGGGATTGGAATTAGGCGATAATTTAGTCAGACTCACGGTAGTTGATTTTAATTATGACAGCGAGAAATGGAACGATGATAAAAAAAAGCATCTGGATATTCTTCCATCATTTCTTGATGAATAAAAAATTTGTACTACATTGTAAAATTCTTGAAAACGATGATTTTGTTACAATTACGCGTATCGGTGTAATTATCTGGACTTATAAATCTTCCAATATTAAGTTGCATTATTATTGGAATGATTGGAAGGGTCGTTTAGAGAAGTTCAAGTTTGAATCGACAATGCTTAAGGATTTATTACTTGATTTTAAGAAATGGGATATAAAAAGATTTCTTCCTACTTCAAGTTATAGAACAATTTATCAAAATTTAGATATTAAATTCGGCAAAGAAAAAACACAGCTTTTCGAAATATTCTTGAAAGATAATATTTTTGAAGATTTTTATTTCACTTGCTATGGGAAATCCCTCATGCGCATGCTTGTTAGATTTAGAAGTGATAAATGGATTCGATCTTTAGGCAAAAGGTGTATAGACAAGTGCTTGCAGAATAATAATCATTTAGTTTCTAAAATTACTTTACTAAGTATTATTTTTGATGAATATAACTTTCCCCGGTTATCAGAAAATCATCCCGAATTTTTAGCAAATATTTTATCCAAGATAGGATTTGTAGCTCCTTCTACTAAAGTAAATCCAGAATCTGCTTCTTCACACCTTTCTAGTTATGGACACTACCATCATTTATCTAAAACATCATTTCTTTATATATTAATTTCTAATTTTCGGATTCGCAGGATTAATTTCAAACAAAATCTGCAAAATACGCCAATTTTTATAAAAGATCGTTTTCAAAATTTAGGCAATTTTCATCCTGTAATCCAAATTTTATTCGTGATTATTATTGTAATACTAATGATTATACTAATTTGTTTAACTGTTATACTATTTTTGTTATTCTTAACTGTAATGAAACCAATTCCTGATTTTTATCGTTATTATACAAGTAAACATAGTACAACAATACTTGTAATTCCTCTACCAAAATTTGTTTCTTATCCAAAAGATTACAATCCTTGGTTAGAATTATTGTTTCCTAGAAACAGTTCTTTTACATATCCATTTAAGCATGAAATGATAACTAAAGAATTTTATAGATATTTAAATGGAGAGGCATTACTAAAATTCAAATGGAATACTTATGGAAGAAAATATTATTTAGCAATATGGGCAATTTATATTCTTTTCCTTTGTTGCTTTATTATTGTTTCCACTTTAACTGATAATATTTCTTGGTTTTATCAAAAAATCTTCTTAAACATTGTTATTACTCTTGGATTCTGGCATCTGATTTTCGAATTTCGTCAATTACTTTATCCAGGGTATTTTACTAGTATTTGGAATTATTTTGGTAAGTTTTATTTATCAAAATATCTATTTTAAGATACGCACACATTCAATTTATTATTTAATAGATCTTGCTGCTATAATTTCTGCTACTGCAACTTCGTTTTTTTGGCTAAAAAATGGTTCTGCACCAACTTGGGCTATCACATTTTCAACCTTATTTCTTGAATTAAAATTTATTATGTTTTTTCGTCCTATAAAATTTTTTGGGATTTATCTTGCTATAATTATGAATACTATAGACAAAGTAATATCTTTTATAATAATATTTGGATCATTTATACTTGCATTGCACACTCATTACATCTTATGTTACGATCAACGTCTGAAATATCTCAAGGTATTTGATCAACTAATTGGTTTTAATTTTATAATAGATAAGTACATTAACAAGTTATTTCATTATTTATTTTTTTTTAGATTCTAATATAAATATGTTTACACAATTTGGTTCTGCACTTATTGCATCTTATTATATGATAATTACAGGTAAATTATACAGTTAATTATTATTTTGATTACTATTATCTTAAAATATCATTTATTCTATTTTATTAGGAGATTCAACTCCTATTTCATCATGGATTTCAAGTGAAGATGCAGTGATAATGTTATTAATGATTATAGTTTCGTTTTTTATGCTTATTTATTTGGTGAATCTATTTATTGGAATCCTTAGTGAGTTAATCAGTAATGAAAAGAATGATATTGCTTATTTGGTTTTAAAAAGCGAGGTATTTTTTTTTAAAGAAAATTTTTTACCCGGCCAATTTCCGGAAATTTTGGTTCCATCCTGGCCTTTTTGATACCGGATAAGAAAAAAAAATTAATAAATAAACTGTATATGGGACTACCCATAGCAATGGGACAATCATGTGATTTTGAAAAAATCATGATTTAAAATCATCATATAGTCTGCCGTCAATAGAAATCAAGCAGATTGACACTTTAAAAAATTGATGCCTTTCACTGCTCATATCTCGATGGATTTCGAAATTATTCTCATGATTTAATTTTCAAAGAAAGCTTCGATCTTAAACATTCTTTTGACTATTAATCATGAGAATAGCTTCAAAATTTATCGAGATATGAGCAGCGAGAATTAAGGTACAGGTTGCCCTCGTTAATATCAACCTATTTGAATTAGTTTTAAATCATGTTGATAGTGATATTAATGAGAAATCATATTAAAGTTGATATATATGAGGGAATTTTGATATATAAAAATTTATAAAAATTTGTCATGTGGCTTACCGGGGTTGATATTAACGAGGGTGACCTGTATTATTTTTTTTTTTAAAAAAAAATGCCAATCTGCTTGATTTCTATTGACAGCAGCCCATGATTAATTTTAATATAGTAATGATGAAGAAAAATGTTAAGTTGGCATACTTTTTATTAGTATATTTTACAAACTAAATATTTTTAGAAAGATAAAACTTACAAGCAAACTGCATTATAAATCTCAAAACCTGATTGGTTGATCCATTGCCCTTTTTCTGCAGAATATTTTTAATTAAGAGCATTGCATTGGTTTATTTAATGAGATTTTGAGATATTAAGGATTTTTCTTACACCGGGTATCATACCCACAGAGTGTAGAAATTATTATTTCAATTATTTTTTTAATCAATAACTTATTTATGTTATATAGATTATCGAGGAAATAGAGAAATATTATATGCTTCCTCATCAACGAAGAAAAGAAAATTGGTTTCCATTTGTTATGTAGGTTATTTGATCGTATGCAATAACCAAATCTTATTCCTATTATTTATATATTTTTATATTTAAGTTTCTATGAATGCAACACAGTAAAACTTCGCGAACATATAAAAGATATCCAAAGTGATAAATGGGCAGGTTATCAAAAGCCCTATTTTTCACAGAATCTTAAAGAAGTTCTTCAATTCGATGAAAAATAACTTCTCTTTTAAACAAATTGAAGAGGTTATTAAAAATATGCCCACTCTTTGACAAATTGTATAAATTGAAAAGAGGTTAAGGATCAAAAGAATCGATTAATTAATATTTGGTTCAAAATCAAATAGATATTAGTAGTTTGACTAAAGTTTGCCTATAATAATTTCAATATTTTAAATTTATTCTTTAATATTTGATGTGGATAATTATTTTGTACACAAATAAAGCAAATAATGATTTATTGCGCTTTGCAAAATTATGTGAAATTTGATTATTAAAAAAAAAGTAATCACTAATTTATGATTACTGGTTTCCGATTTCTTCAATATTTTTTTTTGACTTTAGATTATACAAAATTTTGCGTATCTATTATTTTGTAAAAATTTTATTATTTTTTATAAAAATAAAATTGCATATTCATCATTTTGTAAGATATTTGCAAAAATAGGAGTTGCGCGTTAAAATATCCAATCAAATTTTTACAAATGATCAATGCGCAAATTTTGTCTAGTCTAAAAGTCAAAAAAAATGTTGAAAAGATCGGAAATCAGTAATCGGAAATTAGTGATTACTTTTCACAATTTTGCAAACCGCAATAAAATGTAGTTATTTGCTAATTTTCAATTTATATCAATTATTAATCGATATTAATTGTTCGTAGATTATAATTATCATAATTTAAAAAAATTACTACATTGCAATTTAACTTGCGTTTACTTATATAATAAATTTATATGTGTAAGTTGGGCACTCATAGGACGACATTTATCTGATTGGCTGATCTACCCATGATTTCCCGTGATAATTATCCAATCAAATTACATAATTATGGGAGAATCAAATCGAACGAATTCATAATGTAGACGAAATTTATGTCAGCGAAATTTACATATTCTTTATTAATTATCTCTTATTAATTAAGTTCAAATATATATTCGAGTAGAAGGCATATTTTAAATAATACTGTCTTTGCTAGAGACGCTACTATCTTCGAAATATATTACATTATCAATTAGACAATACCTACTTAATAAATTTCTCTAATTACTTGTATTCGTCAAAGAAAAACTTAAATTTTTCATTTTTTATTAATGTAAATTCTTAATCCTCTTTTTATTTATTACAACCGTTGCAACACCTCTTTGTTCTATATTATTAATTAATATTACACGTTTCTATCTATACTAAAGTCATATTATACTGTTATATCTACGTACTAAATTCTACACAATATTAAAGTAATGTAAGTATTAGGATTATTAAAAGAA